TTTATGGTTACTGTTACGAAAGGTGTGTGTGGCAGCCCTAAAGCCCATGACACATACAAGAACACATATAAGACCGTAACACGCAAGCAGTAAGTAAATTGACCAGTCACAGTAGAGACCGTAAGGCCAGTAGCGAATCCAAAGGCCCGTCTACAATACACGGAGTAAGAAGTAAGAGTAAGAATTTGACCAATCACAGTCGATTATTCTTCTCACATTCGACTGTGATTGGTCAAATTCTTACTCTTACTTCTTACTCCGTGTATTGTAGACGGGCCTTTACGATTACGTCTTACAGACTTACGTTTTTCTATGTGCTCCCGGCTTTAGGGCTGCCGCACACATCTTCCGTAACAGTAACCATAAGACATACCATAAGAATTAGCCAATCATAGTCGAGAATTCTTTTGAACTCTTAATTCTGATTGGCTGATACTTACGGTACGGCTTATGGTTACTGTAAGTCCGGATCTACAATAGGTGTTTTATGCCTTATGCCGTAAGAAACTGTCCAATTACAGTCGAATCCGAGAAGAATAATCGACTGTGATTGGTCAATTTCTTACTCTTACTTCTTACTCCGTGTATTGTAGACGGACCTTTACAACACTGGCTCCAATACAAACCTTATGGCCCGTATTCAGAACGCGCTTACAACGATGTTAGCACGCTAACATACTATACTTTACGTCACGTATATTATAGAATTTCAGAGATAAATGGTCTGTTTTCTGTTCCTGCACTAGACTGCACTAGAAGTCTCTTTCTTGCTTTCGACAAACATCAAACTGTAGCTGTCGTACATATAATATAGAGAATCGGATGGAAATAACTGGCAGGCGGATGTACTAAAGAATATTTATTATTCAATCGCGAGAACGTTACAACGTAGCCGTTAGCAATATAACAAAGTAAGTAAGTATAAATGTATTGTGTAAGGGAAAGTCTGTAGTGAATCTTGTACGCTATAGCGCGCCATCTGCACGCAGCGCGTGTGTATCAATGAGCGAATGAGAGAGTGTAGAGTGTGTCCCTACATATACTCCCCCCTGAGTGACTATGTGTAAGTAGGCGCGAAATGTACTTTCTTTTTAGGTTTATTACAAATTTTTGGAGTATTAGATGATATTGCTGCGCTCTGTGTTGCTTCCCCGTGTGGTGATGTAACTGTTCTCTCTGGATCGGGTAGAAAAGCGGGTTTTAGTCTCTCTGTAGATGTAGCGACCTCCCGGCCGTTGATATGTATTACATACACGTGCTCACTTTCCCTGCGGATCACTTCATGAGGTCCAGTGTAAGGATGTTGGAGTGGTTTTCGGACGCCGTCTACCCTGACGAAAACATGAGTGGCTTGCTCTAATTGTTGTTGTCTGAAGGGTGTTCGTCTTCCGTGATGCTGTGTTGGCTGTGGACGGAGTTGACGCATGCGTTTGCGAAGGGCCATGATGAAGGTCTCTGAGTCTTCTGTGAGGTCTAAGTTCTCAAGGAATTCTCCGGGAATTCGTAATGGTACACCGTAGACTAGTTCAGCAGGAGAACACTTCAAATCCTCTTTCAGGCTTGTGCGCAGGCCGAGGAGTACAGTAGGTAACAGATCCAACCATTGTCTTCCATCCTCGTGGCA